TCACCTCTTTCACGTCTGCCGTACGATATCCGACTGGAAACCAACGCTATAGCGTCCTAGTACAAAACAGCTGAACGTGGTCAACTTGGAGCTGCCAACGACCGAGAGAACGTGCGTTGCATCGTCGTCTGACAATGAATCTGTGTTGCAGTTGACGTGGGTTCTTGGCTCAAATCGATACGCTAAACTAGCGAATGATGACGGACTTTCTTCTGTGGTTGTATACACTGAGGGAGTCTTGCAGAGCGCGTTTCACGGAACAGGCTCGTATGGAGCGAGACATCGAAGAAGCCGAAGAAGCCGAAGCAGATCGGGCATTTGGACGAGGCTGTGGTGCAGGAGATACGTACTTCAACAGTGCTGTCGAGCACGACGGTGAGTATGCTCGATTTCATTTTCAAGCGTGCTTCTGGCCGATCTCTCGCGGCGGCGAGCATGCACCAACCAAATATGGTTATTTATGGTTGTGTATGGCGCACGCCACGAATAAAGATCTAGGCTTCCAGCCGCGGTGGACACCTATAGCCCATCGGCACCAGCTGCCCGACACGCCGGCGGTCCTCTGCAAACATGCAGGGACAAGTATGTGCATACTTTATCAAGGGTGTCGTTTCATGGACCCTTGACGTCGAATGGTATAAATCCGGATATCGCATCCATGATACGGTTGTCCACACCAAACCCTCCGCCAAGTGTCCATCAGACAAGTTTCTTCTAATTCGACAATACTCCGTCGCCAAGAGCCAAACACTATTTACCCAGCTCGAGCGTTTTCCCAGGTATCGCTAGTGATAGGGGTAGAGACCTCGTCGTTGCTGGCTTTTTCAAGTGCCTTTACATCACTGGGACACGCACATTTCACCTCTTCGCACCACAAGCAAATGACATCGCTCCACTCGCGCATTCGCCGGTGCCCCGCAATCCTCGCTCGAGTAGTTGCACTCCTGGCTCAAGTCGTCGTGCGCCTCATCACGGTCATACTCTCGCTCCTTGTCCGCCTTGTGTTTCACGTCCTCGATCAGCTACGCGTGCGTCGCGTTCCTTATTTGCACCACAGCGCGGACGCTATGATCCAGCCAAATGCGAGTGAAGATGACAAGGTCACCGGAGGTGGGGCCCCGCTTCAAGTACGCGATACTGCAGCGAGCAGTACCTTCCCTAACAAGACGTCTCAAAGCGCCGCGACCCCACCATGGAAGCAACCGACAACAGCCAATGCACGCTTCTCACTGAGACGAGCGACGACGACGACCGAGCTCGTCGCCACCATGGAGACGCTGACGATGCGCCTCGTTGCGCTGCAGAAGGGGCCGCCGTCCTCTGAGCAAGGCTGCAACGAGCTGCTGTGTGACGTCGCTGGCCAACTCAGCACCTCGAGCAGCCCGACAATCCTGTACTTGCGCATCCGCGAGCTCGTACGATGCATTGAAGTCCTTGAGTCGGAGCGTCGCCGGCTGGACTATCAATGAGGATCCTCCAGCCTCGGGCGTTCCACACGAGCGCGGTCGAGTGCAACCCTGCCCTCGAATCTCGGAGAGCTACGTTACTAGACGATAATGTACTCTAATCAACACGTAAGAATGAACCAATGTTATGATTTCAACAACGTCATCGACGAGTGCGATGTGACTCTTCTGGTGCATCGCCCACGTTGCCATGCGTCGGTCACTAGGTGTAGGGTTGGTCTACCCTACCCCTCGTCGTTTCGCTGGGCCAACGCTGACTGTACTTCTCACGTATATATAGAATAGACTATGGAATGCTGTCTTAAATGTGAATGAGTGCACGGCGCTCCTGGAGCGTGCAGTCGTCGCTGTCGTCCAGTGGTGGCTGCTGCCAGTAGAGGGCAAAGTGCTGGAGGAGCAAGATGGCGTTGCAGGCGATCGTCATGCACGCGATTGCGAGCAGCCACGGATTCGCCGACGCAGCCTTGGACGCTAGCAGCGTGGCGAGCGTCGCGCCGCCGTAGACGCAATCGTACACGACGCCGTAGACCGAGAAGCCGCGCGTCGACTTGCGCTCGTACTGCAGCTCGATCTGTGGCGCGTACTTGATGGCCGTCAACAGCACATGCAGATAACACGTGAGCGACACGAAGCTAGGCCACGTGAACGCCGAGACATCGAGAAGGAGACCGAGACCAAGGAAGAGTAATATGAGCATGAGAGCGGCGCAGACGAGCACTTGGCACCTTGTCGAGACGACTTGCGAGCCGCGCTTGAAGATCGTGCATTGGTACAAGAGCAGCATCGACAGCAAGAGCGCGTGGAGGTTGACGTAAATTGACATGGGTGACAGGAGCGGGTTGGTGTGCGCATTCGCCGTCCACGAGAAGCCGCAGTTGAAGAGCGCGTAGGCACCAAACCCAAAAACGGCATAGACCTGCGCGTCCAGCGAGAGACCGACGACGCTGCGCCGCTGCCAGTTGAGGCACAGCTGCGGGTAGAAGCGCAGCGTGCCAGCGAGCGTCGCGGTCCAGCCTGCAATCGCCGGCGCCGGCGCGGCTTCGTCGCAGCCAAGGAGGAAGCCAAAGAGGAGGATCGCGACAAGCCCGACGGCGCCCGCGTACGGCCGCAGGAGCGCGCAGGCCGGGCTCATGGCGTCGTGGCGGCGGTACACATCGACCGACACCATTGCGATCCGTTGCGTCGTTTTAGAAATGGAATGCGCAGAAGCGCTTCGGAACGAGTCGGAGTATCTTGATGGTTTGTTCTCTGCTCATCTCTGCAGGTTGCAACTGCAAGCTCGCGACCGCTGGTGTCTCTACGGGCGCCAGCCACTCGACGCGATCCCGGCCATCCAGCCACGCTGATGAGCCACTGCTTACATCCCGCCAACGTGGCGTGAAGCGAGTCCAAAGCGTCGAGCCACTTGGCTTCGAAGAAAACGTGGCTTCTTCAACAACACCAGCTTCAAGGTTGCAACGACCACGGCAACAACGTAGCCGTTCGCCGCTCCCCGCTCGGTCTTGGTGGCCGTTCGTCTCGTGCCAGCCGATGAGGCTTCCGTGCGCTCTTTCGGTCGTCCATCCTCGCTCGCATCTTGCCACGTCAGCGTTGTGGTATTTTCGGCACATGCCATGGAAAGCAGCACGCTTTAAACCAACGACAAGAGTCCGCGAGGCAACTGCATCAAAGCAACGTTCAGTGCACAGTCTTTCTATCGCTACTGCTAGTATATGTATACGCTTCGCTCGTCGCCGCTTAAAAGGTATGGGATATCTCTGCAGCGGCGATAGCAAAAATTTGAGCCAGGTACATGCTACGTTTCGTTAGTTATCGCAAGTGGTCGTTCTTTTGGCAATGCGACGGTGTCAAAAGCGGCGGCTCCTACTGCCTGTGGACCAAAGCCTCTCTGATTTCAATATTGTACATTTTTTCATTTCGCTGGCTCTCGGCCACATGGATCGCTAGCTCGAGGCGACGCATCGCATACCACCCTTCACACGACGGTAGAGTCGACAAGAGGTGTCGCTAGAGCGTGCTCATCACACCGAGAGTAAAATGACAATACAAGGTGTGTGTCAAGGTTAACGTCATCACGTTCAACGCCAGCGGAGCGCCGATGGAAAATGAGCATCGCGTTCCGCCGGGCGCGTCCGGATCGTATCCGGTAGATGCGGCATTGAGTGCCGAAAACAAAAACCGGTGTGCCCCGGGGTCTCATGCCAGCCCGCACCAATCACCCGAGTTTGCACTTTGCAGGATGGTGAGCGAGTACAAGATCCGGAGCGTGCTCCTGCGCGTACTCAAGGGCCTCGATGAGACGTTAGTCGACTACATGGCGAGCATGCTCATGGACTTTGACGGGAGCGAGCCGCTCTCGGAGACGATCGCGCCCTTCCTTGTCTCGTCGGGCTTTGCTGCCGACGACGACGTCGCTCTCAAGCACTGCGGTACGCTGCAGGCCGCGCTCGAGGCCGAGGGCCTCGTCGCCAAGGTGGTTGCCAACGAAGCCGAGTTCAAGAAGCTCGAGAACGTCCAGTCGATCGAGGACATGTCCCGCGCGAACGACGCCGAGATGAACACGATCATGGAGCGCATGTGGGGCTTCGAGAGCATCCGCAAGACGAAGAACGAAAACATGGAGGCGTGCGCGAACGCGCAGTCGCAGCGCCAGATCCGCAAGGAGGCCAAGAAGGAGCTGCTCGAAGAAGAGCGCGAGCGCATGGAGGCCGACGACGATCTCGCGTGGGAAGACATTCGCGTGCTGCCCGACATGTCGACCGACAATGGCGAGCGCGTACGTCATCATCTTCATCATCTCTTGGCGTGTGCTCATGCCGCGAGTAGGACATCCACGTCGACAAGGTCACGCTGTCGTTCAAAGGCCAGACGCTCCTCAGCAACACGAACCTCAAGCTCATCCACGGCCGCCGCTACGGCCTCATTGGCAAGGTGCCAACCCTCTTTTCGTATTCTGCTGGATCTCAAAATTTGTTGGACTGCGTAGAACGGCGCGGGTAAGACGACGCTGCTCCGCTTCATGTCGCACTACGACATCGAGGGCTTCCCGCGCCACATTCGCATGCAGCACGTCGAGCAAGAGGTATACTTTTGAGGATTGTCCTATTGTCTATATCTAAACTCGAATTCTAGTCGGCGTCCAAGCTCAGCACCGAGACCAACAGTGTGCTCAGCGTCGTCCTGGCCTGCGATTATGAACGCACGCTGCTTCTCAACGAAGAGAAGGAGCTCCTTGCATCCAACTCGAACCCGGACCGCCTCAACGCCATCTACGACCGTCTCCAGCAAATCGACTCGGACTCGGCCGAGTCGCGCGCGCGCACGATTCTCGCGGGTCTCCAGTTCCCGGAGCACGTTGTCGACGGGCCGGCGAAGGCGCTTTCCGGTGGTTGGCGCATGCGCACGGCGCTCGCCGGCGCGCTCTTCATGTCGCCGGACCTCCTCCTGCTCGATGAGCCGACCAACCATTTGGATTTGGAGGCCGTCATGTGGCTCGAGAATTACCTCGAGACGTACGAGAAGACGCTGATTGTGGTGTCGCACGACCGGAACTTCCTCAACATGGTCACGACCGACACGATCTACATGTACAAGCAGCAGCTCACGTACCACCGCGGCAACTTTGCGTCGTTCGAGCAGACGCAAGAAGAGCATTTGCGCCAGCAACGCAAGGTACGCGGTTCGACCCTCGCCAGCAACTTGCATTTTTTTGCATTTTTCCAAATTTTCACATTTCTTCATTTTTACCAAGAAAATGGACATCTCACATGCAAATGTGCTAGGCGTACGAGGCACAGCAGATGAAGGTCACGCACATGCAAGAATTCATCGATCGCTTCCGCTGCAACGCCAAGAAGGCGCCGCTCGTCCAGTCGCGTGTCAAGGCCCTCGAGAAGATCATGCGCACGGCGATCGAAGAGCCGGAAGATCCGCGGGCGTTCAAGATGGTGTTCCCGCCGCCGGGTACAGACAACTTGTCTTCGAATATGGCGACTCATCTGTGCGTGCAGAGCCGTTGGGTCGACCAATCATCTCAGTGGAGAATGTCGCGTTCCAGTACGCACCGGACAAGCCGCTGCTCTTCCGCGGTACGTGTTTTATCTTGCTTTTTGAAAGATATCAATGTATCGACTAGATGTCAACTTTGGCATCGACATGTCGAGCCGCATCGGTATCCTCGGTGTGAACGGGTCGGGCAAGAGTACGCTCATCAACCTCATCCTCGGCAAGCTCGAGGCGACGGAAGGCAAGACGGTCCGCAACCCGCGCGTGCGCATCTCGACGTTCACGCAGCACCACGTCGACTCGCTCAACTTGTCGCTTTCGGCTGTCGAGAACATGAAGGAGATGTTCCTGGGCCATGAAATCGACGAGTTCCGCAACCATCTCGGCCGCTTCAACCTCTCGGGTGAGCTCGCAATGAAGCCGTGCCGCAAGCTCTCGGGTGGCCAAAAGGTACGCTTGTATGTCTCTTGATAGCTTGATACTAAACGAGTATGGCTAGTCGCGCGTCGGGTTTGCGATTCTGACGTGGCGCCTCCCGCACGTCGTCGTGCTCGATGAACCGACCAACCACTTGGATATCGGTACGGTTGATATATTGATAGTAGTGCCAAGACGAGACGATGTCGTAGAAACCATCGACGCGCTCATCGACGCGCTCCGTGGCTACAAGGGTGGCGTCGTGATCGTGTCGCACGACCAGCACTTTGTCAACAGCATCTGCGACGAGCTCTGGGTCGTCGGCGACACCAAGGTCTCCAAGTTTGGCGGTTCGATGGCCGACTACAAGAAGGCCATTTTGAAAAATTAGAGCT